TATATATATTGTCTTGCAAAGAAACACAGCTAAAGTCAAAGTTGCATCAAATGAAAACAGGTTTTTGACAAACTCAAGTTTGTTTTTATTTCATGCTATAGAAATAATAATAAATTTGATGTTTCAGTGTTTGTTCATCATTGTTTAATTTAGAGTGAAAATGTTGGTTATCAGATACCATAAACTATGGGATGGAAAACTATTTTGAAAATTCAGTGTGCCAGCAAAGACAATTACTTCAAGGTGAAATAGTCTGCCCCTTGAGACTGAGCTTTATTTAAATGAGGATAATGAACTTTTGCATTTTTAAAAATGTTTGTTTAGATTTGTGCTCACAGACTTTTCTTTTTCTATAAATGCTGCAATTTGTCTTTGTAGGGTTTTGTTAATCTTCCTTCTGGAGAACTCATCGGGGAAAGACAGATGGAGAGAAGTAGACCTAATCTGTATTGTTAGACTGCACAAAGTTTTTTTTTTCTTTTTTCAGATTTGATTWCTTATTATTAGTGAAATGTTGCAAGACACGGTTAGTGATCATTTGCATACCTTGGCTAAAACTCATAAAAAGGTCAGGCAAAGTTGTATCCTCCTACATCGATCTTTGTCAAGGTTTAACGTGAGACGTTTGCTTCCTGCAGTTTGATTTATGAATGAGGTTATTGGAGCTAACGTGTCAGTAACCCCCATTGAAGGAAACCAAGAAAGTAAGGAAACAAAGATTTGAAAGATTTCCAAAGCTATACAGAGGTGCAGCTGTGAAGAAGATGCAAATACATTCACATTAACTACCCTTTTATTATTTAGACCATGCCAAACATTTGGACTGTGGGTATGGTCTGTTTAACCAGAATAATTATGGCCAATATTATTCCATCGTTTTAAAATATTTAAATAAATTCTTTGATTCAGCTGTACAACTGGGTCTTTTCAGCTTCTTGGATTAGTGCCAGGGAGTAGTCAGAGTTTATTTTTCCCACTGACTATCTTTCAAAACATAAATGCAAGCAGACAGCAACAGCTGCTAAGTCCAATAACAGCCAGATTAAAAGGCAGCAGAACACCAGAGACCAAAGAGGCAGAGTAGCTGACTTTGTTGACCACGCGAAATTGTCTCTTTTCAAGCCTTTTACGGACATTCAGCCTCAGGCTTTAGGTGAAGAGCAGTTAAAAAGGGAATCTATGCTAATTGCGTCAAATAGCCTCTTTCACACAGAGTTGAAGTCACCTCCACTGCAGTTTGAGATAGGAGTGGTTAATGTACTTGATGTAAAATGTCAGCATTAATGCATTTTTTATATCATTGTCGCAAAAAGTGATTTTTTTAGATAATCAAGCAAATTTCAGAAAAATGATAAATGATTGGTGCTTAGAACATTATTTGTAGAAAGAACAGAGCAGAACACAAAGCTTTAAACATCTTATTTATAGGCTCTAAAATGGCACTTTGAGTAACTTTGAACATATAATTACAGGTCATTGTGCAGAAAAGGCAAAACTCCTAGAGTTCCTTACCTTTGTGGATGACCCCAGGTGACCTCTTCTTTTTTTTAAACCAGAGTTTTAACTTAAAGCTCATAAATAATGTAAAAAYGTCATTATAAAGTGTGGGACTTTTACCTGTTTCAGCTTCTGTTGAAGTCTTTCTGCTGACTTTGTCTCCTTTGAAGGCCCAGATGTAAATAGTGTGGAGGACACCGGGCCTCAGGCCTACCAGCCTGTATGAGGTTCTGTCACGTCCAACTGGGATGTCTGAACTGGACCCTCCAGCAGAGGTGTAACTTAACATGTAGCCCTCAATTTCAGCCTGGACCTGATCCCAGGAAACGGTTGCTGTGTCTTCAGTTACTTCAGTGGTCAAGAGTCTTGTTGGGGAGTCGATGTCTGAAACAGGAAAAGTACAAAAATGACTAAGAAGTAAAATGCAAAGAAATCCAAACTGTGCGCAGGGAATCATTAAAAAATAGTAAGGACAGACTAACTCTACTGTATGAGATGTTTTTTAATCCTCATGTGATTCTAACATTCTGTTTACTCTCCTTGTTCTACGGGTCAAAAATGACCCCATTCAACCAAAACTCCAAAATAAAGCTGCACCAATTGAATTTTAAATCCCAAATCTATTTTGCATGTTGAAACAACTTGATATTTATCAATTCAACTCAATTTATTTATTGTTTCAATCATGTATTTAAACAATACAAAAAGACAAACACTCTCTGATGGCTGCCAGTTTGTCTGTCACACACCTTGCTGGTCTGGACTCACGGTTGTGAAATCTTAGCATTCTTGAGAAAGTGTGAAAGATTTTTAGTGGCAGTGTGGTACAAAAAAAGTTGCCCTTCCACTCTTTGCATCCCAGAGACTACACGTAGCCCTGCCACGGCCAAGATCTACACCTGCTAACATCAAAAGCCCTATATAGCCACTCAGTCAATCTCATCCGTATTTTTCCAGTTTTCTCCATATTTTCAGGAAACCTTCAAAATTCATATTCTCCAGGATGATTTTTTTCAAAGGCTGATGTGATGATCAGGAGAAAGGTGGATGAAATGTCCTGGACATGGGCAACTGAATACCTTGATGGCCCTGGTATCATCCTTATGATGTTTGATGCTGCTGTTCTTCCCTGGTTGTTGTCTGAATTGGATGAGGACCATGCAATTTTGCCATACTTTTACAAAAATGTCTCCGTCAGCTTGAGGAATGTCCTCTTCTTCATCATCTGAAGATGCATCATCCTCTGAGTTGCATTCCTGCCCATCTTCGTCATCTGAAGATGCATCTTCATTCTCTTGTTCCTCCTGAGCTCCTGAAAATATACTGTAGTTCCTGGTCAGCAGTGAAACATCCACTCATGGCTTCAGCAAGGAACCAACTAGGGATACTTTCATTCAGGGTACCTTTATATCCTCTAAAATGAATTTGGTTTTATAATGTCTGGGATTTTTTGTTTTGTTCACGTTGTTTGTTTTGTTCAGGAGCTTGTGTGATGTGAGGGGTTAGCTGCCTATTAAGAGTACAGGTGCAGGTCAAATGCAAGTTCCAGTTTCTTTGATGTGTGTGTAGGTAGGCACATTTTTGCTACATCATGGGAACCATTTTTCAGAAAAAGTTAGCCTCGTGCGGGGGACCGGGTGTGCATCGTGGGGACTGGGCATTGGTCCCCACGATGCACATACAGATTTCACGGCGCGGGGGGGGCTTAGGTTTAGAACCAAGGTGTGAAATGAGTTTAGGTAGGGTCATGTCAGGTCAGGTCACCTGTGAGGTTAATTTGAGGGTAAATGGTCAGGGTTAGGCTACAAAATTACCAGAAAATGAATGGTCCCTACATGGACATAAAAACAAGCCGGGGGTTGTGTGTGTGTGTGTGTGTGTGTGTGTGTGTGTGTGTGTGTG